ATAGATAGATAGATAGATAGATAGATAGATAGATAGATAGATAGATATAGTAAGTAAAATAAACTACTATACTATTTGTGGGTCTTCAAGGTACGGATCCCCCGCAATAAACGAGGGACTACTGTATTTTTTTTTTAAGTTGACAATAATATCGGATCATTTACTCTTGTTTTAAATATGCAAGTGTCTGTGACTATATTTACATGTTCTGAAAAGTGGCTTTTTTTATATAAAGACAAGAATGCTCCCAGAAAACAAGGTTGAGAAATACTGCTGTAAAGTCTCCATAATACAAGAACTAAAACCTCTTGTTTAAAGCTACATCATTTATTATTTTAAAATCACTGATGCAAGAATATATCAAGAGAAACCCCCAAAAAAGAATGTTTAATACTATGTTGTGCATCTATTGTTTATGGGTGATTTAATAAGTATCTCAAAGCACTGCTAACAGTTCAATAGATAAATGAAACACTTATATGAAAAGTTGATTTAACAAATAATCACAGTAATCTCTGGTCTCAAAAATACATGGCAGCTCCTGCAAACTGAGACCTGCTGGCTTCAAGTCCCAACAATAAGAGGAAGTGGGGACTCTTGGTTTATAACACATAATATTCAGTCTATGACACACCCATAGCTGCACAGATTCAAGTTATCTGGTTTAGTTTTGTTAGGATGTCTGCAGAAGCGAGCATGCTCAGAAATTCATCTTATAATTAAATGGATTGGTTTTTATCAATACGATGATGCAAAAATCTAATGGATTCAAATTTCATTCCAAAATAGCATCTATTTAAAGCTACCCCACAAATGCACTTACATCATGCAAGTTTGTGTCTGTGGACCACTGCATCCCTATAACATCTCAAGTTTCTCTTAAAAACTTGTTTCTTCCTGAAAACATTTTACTGCAAAAATCTGTGCTAAAATAGTTGAGTTCCCATGGCGATTCATTCCCATGACAATTTGTTCACTGGCCAAGAAAAAGTCAACCTGAAAAACTTTTTTTTCCAGAAGGTAAACAAATCTCTGTTCATTCAAAATGAAGTTATTTTAGAAAGCAAAGTTTCAAAAGAAGAGTAAAAAGAAGTCAACTTTGGTACAGCAACTTCAAGATTCAAGAAGAAGATTTAAGCTCTTACTCTCCTTCCCGCATGCTTTTTTTTTTTTTTTGCTCTCATCCTGTCCACCTCAGAGCCTCTCTTTACACATCTTCTGAATGAAAAATTATTATGGATTTGGTCGGCTGGTCCCTCAACGCAATTGATAATTTTTTTTCCCACCAGACGACAGGGTGCTGGAGAGCCCTCATGCCCTGAACAGATCCACGCAGCTGGGTATGTCATTGATTTCTTGAGTGAGTGGAAGATGATGTGCCTATCTGTGCTGTCCGTGGAGGATGTAGAAGATGTGTGCATTATTGGAGTTATGATAACAGGGTTTCTGCTTTTTGGAATAGGTGGATACCTTGGATATCAACAAATTAGGAAGACGTCAGCAGCAGTTTCGGCCATGGTAAAACTGCCAGCCTTGTGTGAAGGATTAATTCATGCCTCAAGCTCTCAGATTTATATGCTTACCGAGCTCAACCATAAGCTGGACGCAATTCTGAGAACCGTAGGCCACTTGCGGCTCTTGTAACTCACCAGCATGAAGGTTTCAATCTTGGAGAATGCTAAATCGAGCACGGACCGCACAGATTGTCCACTAATTCTGGCTGTTTGGATTTGCCATTGGGTGTACCAGCAGAACTTGAAGGCAGACAGAAATCAGAGTCTGGTGGCCCAAACAATTGTTGTTTATCTGAATGTGGCCTCCCCGCTGGCCTTGGACAGGCCAACTTATCTCAAATTGGTCCTGGAGGATACATAAACTTGAAGCTCTGCCTGTCCACTCCCAAGGACATCTGTGGCCTTATCAGAACCATGATGCTGATAGACACTGTACCATCTTATCAGAACTTTGGAACTCTCTGGAGTGTTTTTGGATAACTCATCCTTTTTGTCGACCTCTATGCACAAATGTAGTATGATGTCATTGTATGTTGCAACTTTATGTTGTGAGGTCTTTTTTTGCATCTTTTACACCGTTTCCCGGCCAGGACATGGTGTGAGACATGAGGGTTTTTGGCTTCCTCCATCCTCATGTTCTCTTTTTCTCATCTGTTTGTTGTATGTAAAAGGTCTCTCTTGTAAATGAGACTTTAAGGCTCAAATGGAACTAACCTGTATAAATAAAGGTCTAATAATAATTAAAAAAATGAGTAAAAACTTCCTTGAGTTTGAAATCTTTGAAACTATGTTGTCAGTGGAGCAACATGCTATAAAAGTAGTGCTAAATGCATTTTTTCATTGTTTTCTTCTAAAAATGTAATAACTCATCCACGTTCGGAATCCTGAGACATCTAAGTAGCTCTTTTTTTATTAGTATAACATCACACTCAAGTCTGCAGTCAGACTTATTAACAGGAGAAACACACACTAACACATTAGCACTATGTTTGCCACTCCTACACGGGTATATTCTTCCTACTAAATAACTTGTAACATCGTTAAGGAAATAGCAACCCTAAGAATATCAATACTATTTTCATTATGGCAGTAAAATATATCCATACAACCTGCAGTTTGGTGGTTCCAGCGCTCAGTCCGATTAGCACTTGACCCTCCAGCAGTTCGGCAATCTTCGAGTCCTCCACCCTCAGGGATTCCTTGACAAGTTGTGTCACATCCACATGCCAGTCAGTACCAAGCAGAAAGTTCTGCTGACTCAGCCTGTCCTCCTCTGTGGCTCCTTTAATGTCTCCAACATCCGACACGAACTGTGTGAAGACACGCAGCGTGGTGCTCTGGTACTGGGCCACACAGACATTCTCCGATCTCCCCTCAGGTCCATAGGCACCATCCTTGTCATCAGTGACCCTCTCGAACCTACCAATACAAACAAGAGGTGCAGCTGAGCAACGGCTGAATACAGTTAAGTGTTTAAATGTAGAAGGAGAATAAAATTACTTTAAGCTGTTTCAAGTTCAAGTAGGTTTTATTGTCATTCACCACATGTGGTACATGAGGTGGAACAAAATTGTGCACACAGGGTCCCAGTTACATCCAACAATAGCAAAAATATAAAGTGTGAAAAGAAAGTAAATAAGGCTAAACGAATGCCAAACAGTATGCTAAAAGAAGTATATGTATCTAAGTAAGAAGCACTATAAGGCCTTTGTCATTAGATAATTAAATAAAGTTATATTTTTGTCGTGTAAACACATTTATGCTTCTTTTAACTATTGAGATAGATGTCTAAAATGTCAGAGGAGCATTATTTAATGCTGTCAAATCCTCTACTGTGTTCTGCTGCACGCTCACCTGGCATTCCAAAAGTCAGTCTCCCAGAGTTTTAGAAAAAAATCCATTAAAAAGCGACTCGCAGAGACAAACTGCTGCCTCGCTTGCTTTTCTTATTTTCGTTTAAAGGGCAACTGATATTTTCTCTCCGCGCCTTCCATTTATTCGGCCCTCGGCGAATGCTTTGCAGAAACCGCCATGTCAGAAAATAGGGGTCGGAGTAAATTACAATTTCTCTGCTGAGTTTGTTTGCAAGCCTATCGGTGGGAATTTGTGAAACATGCTGTGAAACACGTTCTTAATTTCGTATATAATATAAACTTGTAAAGCATTCTATCACACTAACCAACCGACATTACACCAAACAATGCAAAAAAGGAGAGAAAATGGGCATTCATGAACAATTTGAACATAACTATATTGATTCTTCTTCATTGGATTATTTTAGCTGTTTAAACCACTGTTACATCAGAATTTGTCTCTTGATACAAATCTGCTGATTTTTGTTCCGTGCCTTATTATTTTTCTTTCTGAATTTCTTATCCTTTATCTTTCTTATTCAGCTCTTCCTCTACCCCACACCTTTTTATTCTCGGTCTTTCAAGCGCCACTTCTCTTCTGGTCAAGTGGCAGAGAGGAATGACCATGACAGTTTCCATTTGGTTTAATGAGGCATGGCCGGTGAGGCAGAAAAACATGCTGACAGGTTAACATGTTGTGGCTCAGTGGCTCGGTTTAGTTCCTCACCTGGCTGTACCACATACCCTCCCTGCTTTTTGTCTCCCCCGCTTGAGTAAAGGGACAGCAATCTACACAGAGGTGACATTCGTGGCTGGCAGCTGAAACATGGGGTCGGGGCCTGTTTTCAGCAGTGAGTGACGAGTCAGCCATCGCATCGGACTTTAATGAGTGGCCTTGTTCACTTATGTGGAAGAGAATGAGCTCCTGCTTAGCTAAAGGCACGCACACTGAAAATCCAGTGCCAAGAAATTATTGGACTTTTAGACTTTTCCCTGTTTTATTTTTTTCTCAGTACACACACATTTTGTCTTTTTCATGAGGGGATCACATGAAAGGCATGAGTGAAGTTACCTGGCTTTAATTGCAATGGTCATACTTGTAAGGTGGGGGTTGTAAACAGATCGGAAAAGACACTGCATTGACTTTGTCTTAAATTAAGGCACCTGCTTGATGTTTTGATTCATTTTAGCAACAGCCGGGAAAATAGATTGGCAAATATTTGTCTATCAACAACAGTAAACCATTGTGTTGTTGTTTATTGGTTTGTAAAATCAAGTACAAGTGTTGCTGTACAGAAATGCTTCATCATTTGCATCGTTTAGAAACAGTCACAGTTTGCACAGAGACAACACAGGGTATTTTTCATCAGCAGGATGAATGTAAGCTGTATTAAAAAATAAAATGCAAAATTTAGATTTTTAAATAAAAATATGTGAATCCACATTTCCATATTAGTCCAAATTGCAGTGATGTTTCTAATTTGGGCTATTTTCTGAGCTTAAAGTAAAAAGTTTTATACAAATCGATCCATAACTTTCTGATTGGTTCTGTCCAGTGTTTATAAAGCCTAAACCTATTCATGGTTTATTAGTAATTTTAAAGAAAGTCATCATAATATTCATCACATTCTAAAAGGTTCTACTCTTAGAAATACAACACTTGTATATCTTGTGAAAAATTGGCACAGTAGTGTTAGTGTAACGTTGTTGAAATTGACAAAAAGAAAATCTCACAATGATACCATCAAATTCAGTTCTTATCTTAATGGAGAAACAAACAAAACCAGTAACACTGTATCCTTGTCAACAAAATAACCCTATGGTATTTAAACATTAAACAAACAAACCAACAAATGGGTAAATATGTAGGTTTTTTTTGCAGCATATATTTTTATTAAAAGAGTCAACTGGGTCTTTTCTTTGTGACATGTAATATTTTAAACTGTTATCAAGTTTGATTTAGAGCTATAAAGCCATTATTATTAGGCAAATATTTACTCATAAGATTTGTAATGTGCAGCTGTCCCGACATTAATTTGATGGTTGACCATTTATATTTTATCAAGTATTATTTATTTATTTATTTTCTTTCAGCTGCTCCCTTTCTAAGGGGTTGTCACAGTGAACTAACTTGCACTAAGACTTTTACGCCGGTGCTCTTCCTGACGCAACCACAGACCACAGATCTACCACAGCCCTCTGTGTGGAGCAGAGAGCTCCTATCTAGGGCACCCAGGGGAGCAGATGGTGGGGGGTTAAGAGCCTTGCTCAAGGGCCCAGAGTGGGGCAAATGAGGGTGGAAGCAGGTTGGGTGCTTTCCCCACCCACATTTTTGATGTCGGTCCGTGGGTTGAAACTGTGACCTTCCAGTCACAGGCTTGCCTTCTCTAACCTCTGATATTTCATCAAGTATGACACAGAAAAATACGTCACAATTTGTTATACAGTTAAAAGTTGCAAAAAGGCCATATTTTAGTTGCTGAACACAAATAATAATTTTTATTTAAACTAAAACAGTTGATTTTTCAGTTATAAGCATTTACAGTTTTCATTTATTACTGACGTCAAGCTCAAACGTGCATATACAGTCCCCTCCAAATGTATTGGAACAGCAAAGCAAATCACTTTGTTTTTGTTGTTCACCGAAGACATTTGGATTTAAGATCAAAAGACGAGGATGAGAAAAGACCAGGATTTCAGCTTTTATTTCCTGGTCATTTACATTTAGATGTGTTAAACAACTCAGGATATATCACTGTTTATTTTAGACCACAGTATTTGTAGGTAAGCAAAAGAAATGGAACAAATAATCTTCAAGTAAACAGCATTTTATATTTGGTGGCATAACCCTTGTTGCAATAACTGCCTCAAGCCTGCGGCCCATTGACATCACCAAACTGTTGCATTCTTCATATGTGATGCTATTCCAGGCTTTTAGCACAGCTTCTTTTAGTTCCTGTTTGTTTCAGGGGGATTTCTCACTTCAGTCCCCTCCTCAGGAGATGGAATGCATGCTCTATTGGGTTAAGGTCAGGTGACTGACCCAAAGCAAACTGCCAACAAAACAAAGGACTTTATCACTGGCCAAGTCATTGTCCTGCTGCATGAAAAACCTCCTCCTGATTAGTTTGGATGCATTTCTCCTCAGATTGGCAGCCATGTTTCTGTACACTTCCAAATTCATTCTGCTTTTATGATCATTCGTTACATCATCAATAAATATTAACGAGCCTGTTCCAGAGGCAGCCATGCATGCCCATGCCATGACATTACCTCCACCGTGCTTCACAGATGAGCTTGCATGCAGTTGCTGTCCACACTTTGGCCTTCCCAGCACTTTGGTAGACAAATCTTGGTCTAATGAGTCCTTAAGATTGTGTTCCTGGACTTTTGCGGCTCATCTCTGCACTTCTTTGCCAATTCCAAACTGGCCTTCCAGTTCTTACTGCTGATGAGGGGTTATCTTGTGGCCTCTATATTTCTGCTCTCTGAGTCTTCTTCAAAGAGGGGATTGTGATACCTTCACCTCTGCACTCTGGAGGTCATTGGTGATGTAAACTACAGATGTTTTGGGTTTTTTCTTAACAGCTCTCACAATATTTCTGTCGTCAGTTACTGTTGTTTTCCTTGGCTGACCTGTTAGATGTATGTTGCTCAGTACACTGGTAGTTTCTTTTTCAGAACATTACAAGCTGTTCTGCCCAATGTCCAGCGTTTGTCCAGCGGCTCTGATTGATTTTCCTTTTCTCAAGCTTCAAAATGCTTTGCTTTTCTCCCGTAGACAGCTGTCTGGTTGTCATGTTGGTTTATCCTCTTTCAGAAGAAGTGCAGTCTGCATAGGTTTAAATCCAGGCTTAAAACTTAGACTAGTCATGCAGAACTATTTAATGTTTGAACTATCGAAATAACATGCAACACTTGGTCAACAAGAAATACCTGTCAATAACATGTTCCAACAGTTTTGACCACTCAGTAAAAGGGTGGGTTCACACAAAGGGTAATATGTCCTGAGTTGTTAAACACATTTAAATGTAAATACCAAGAAGTAAAAGCTGCAATTCTGAGCTCTTTCAATCATAAACACAAATGTCTTCAGTGAACAACAAAAACTAAGGGATTTGCCTTTATGTTCCAATAGTTTGGGAGGTGACTGTATTATATATGCAAAATTTACTTTCAAGTTTCCTAAACATCTCATCCTCTTAAATAAAATAAAATCTAAAATGGTTTGTGAAAAATTGGACTTTCTTTGTATTTTATTTTCAAGTCACACGTTTCTAATTTAAAAAAAGAGCAGCTATGTGAAACTCCTATAGTGCATTGAAATACGACTTAATGAAAAAGCACGCAGAACACCAAACAAGATCTTTGCTGCTTGTTTTTTGGTGTAATTACTGTATACGTTATGAAAATGTATTGTTTGTTAATTTAACGTCCTGGGTCAAATTAAAACAACATGTCATGTTTCTTTTCTAAATGGTCACATTAAATACAGATTAGCATGATGTAAATTAATATATATGCTTCAGAAAGCTTTCTATCTTATTCAGCTACAGTATGTTTATATTGGAAAAATGTAATTATTTAGTTTTATTATAAACGCTGTTTACACTCCATGCTGTGCTGCACATACCATGATGCATTTTACCGCCATCTGAAGTTATGCCAAAGCTCTGTAATGCCCAAGATTATTATTCATTTTTTTATTTGCTATAAGTGCTTTTTTTAGGACATTGCTCAAGTGAATTATTAGGCATAAATTATACAGCTGAACTTTAATTTTATGCGTCATAAATTCGCTCTAGCACTTGAATTTAGAGCTATCTTATAATACCAAATACTAAATATGTTTTTTGCATAAAAATTGTGGAGAGCTTCTCAGATAAATGATCTAAAAGCACATTTAGATTTGTTTTTAGGAGGTTTAAAAACTGACGAGTTTTGGCAAACATTTCATTTGCTGAAATTTGAGAATTTATTGTTCTTTTAGACCATGCTAGACATTCCAAGGGATAAAAGTTGTAGTTTTGTGGTGCAGAAGTGCACCACAATACTGCTTTTACATTGAGTTATTTGAATACTCCTCCCCCTTTAAAAATTAGATGTAATAGTTTACCATAAAACAATACAGATGCACAAAAACATGTCTTACCTCCTGTTACTAACACCAGCTGGGACCTTCCAGCCCTTTATCTGATTGAGTTCAGTGTCAGCCACATCTATGAGCAAAGGCAGGCGAGGGATCCATACGCTCATCTTGAGCTGCGCGCTCAGAAAACTGTAGGTGAAGTTGAGCATTACTCTGCTTTTCCCCTTTGTCTCTTTTCCGTTGACATACACATAATCACAGCGCTCTGAGACCTGAACACAGTGTGGAAAAAAGAGAAAACAGAAAGAGGTCAGACTGATGGAAAGTTTGCATAAAATGATTAAAACAAATGAGCTTGCAAATCATATATAATTTATGTTTTGCTACATTGTTTAAGGAAAAAAGGTCATATTTAACGTTTTGTGCATACACTGCAAATTTGTATTTTAGATCGTTTTTTTTTGTTTTTTTTTCCCTGAAATCTTATGCGTCACATTTGAGTCCAGAACTTGACAGCGCACAAGTTCATCAGCATATCCTGTGAACATACTGTAAGGCCACAATTATAAAAACATCTAAAACAATTTTGTACAGGCTGAACACTAAGTTTTAGTGTTTGGGGTAGAATTAGGTTTAAGTGACTGGTTAGCAGTTTTACCTCTAGTATTTGCATGTTTTTTTATGTGTGCCAAATTACTTCCTAAATTGTATATGCACTGCCAAATACACATCGGCAAGTACTGGGAAGTTGGCCCAACTAACAGATGGACACACACCTGTTTCATCCAACCAGAGAACAACATGCTCAGAGAAATAAAATGGTATAATGTAAACCTCTAATCAGACATCAAAATATCTGAGGAATTTATGTAATTGGGTCATATCTGCATTATTTAAGGAAAATATGTTTAATCTATCATAACTATATTTCACAGACTTTTTTTTTTTGCAATCACAAAAGTTTTAACTTAGTGTAACTTTTATCACTGTCATTATCTTGATTGGCACAATTTTTAATTTCGGCACATCGTTAGCAGGGACAATTGTTTCTTTGTATTAAACCAGTCACAAGAAAAACTGTCATCTGTCTCCACTTCTTTGCATACGACTTGGCATCTTTAACTCTCAAACGGTGTCAGATCAGCCCCTCTCTCCGAGGAACAAAACTGACAGCTCAGTGTCTGTCAGTTCTCTCCTCCTACTGCCTTTCGTTTCTTTTTTTCCCCTATTCTATCCCACTGCTTTCTATCTTCGTCGATCCAGTATTATCATACCTCTCCGGGTTCTGTCTTCTGATTAGAATAGGTTGTGATTATGAGGGGAAAGTTTGGGGTTTTCATTTGAATGTCACATTTAGAAATTCTCACTTTTACGATTTGAATTCGGTGTTAGGTTTAAGAACCTCAAAGAAATATCTCTGCTTTTTGAAAATGGTTTGGTTCTGTTGACTTCTTCAGGCCATGACCTTCAATGTGCTGGGCCAATTTACAGCTGGTATGAGAGTCCGCTCCTATAAGTCTGAGGCCCTAGTTCTCAAATATGTTTTACCAACGTTTTCACGAGTATTCACGAGTACCTGATACACAAATATTTGTGAAAAACAATGATTCTTGCAGCATGTCAACTATCATGAACAATGTAAGTGTGCATGTGGCAGTCACATGACATGTTCCAAGACCAATTGGTTTATTTTGTATATTGTGTAAAAATACATGTTAGATTTTTTTTCTGATTATTCCAGAAAAGCACATAGGCATTACTCCATGCAAGTTAGATATATTGAGATGTATTAAGTTAATTCTGTAAAATGTGTAGTATTTTTTGAGTAGAAACTCTAGACGTGCTGCAGGCTGATTACAGTAGGCGACATTGTTTGTGTGTGCTCTCTTGAATATATATATAATAAAACAGCCACTAGGGATCACAAGCCAGTGTATCTCTTGTGCCGGTCACAAGCCCGGGTAAATGGCGAGGGTTGTGTCAGGAAGGGCACCCGACATAAAACATAAAACTAACATTGGAGTTCATCTAAGTGACACCATACAGAATCGGTTAAGGCCTGGGTTTACAACAACCACCTTTGGTGCTGTTGAAAAATGGTGCTGGTGGAAATAGTGCCACTGTTAGTCGAAGACCAAGAGAAGGAAAATTGTGAGGAGACAGCAGGAGAAGAGGAAAGTCAAGAATGTAGAACTGAGTGTGGCAAATCTAAATTTGGGGCCAATTCCAGGCAAAGATAGAGCTGGCTGACATGATGCAGAGAAGGAAGGTATATGCTTTATGTGTCCAAGAGACCAAGTGGAAGGGCAGCAAGGCTTGCAGCATTGGAACAGGGTTTAAACTGTTTTACCATGGTGTGGATGGAAAGAGAAAGGGAGTAGTGGTGGTCCTGAAGGAGAAGTCAGCAAATACTGTAGTAGAGCTGAAAAGAGTGTTAGAAAGGATGATATGTCTGAAAGTAGAAGGTCTGATGATAAATATTAGTAGTTATGCTCCATAGGTTGTATGTGATAGAAGGGGAAGATAAAATTTGAAAGGATCTGGATGAAGTGATAGAGAATTCACAGGGAGGAGAGAGTGGTGATCAGATACGATCTGAAAGGACATGTTGGTGAAGGAAACAGAGGGGATGAGGAAGTGCTACCCATAACTTCCTCATCCCCACTGTTTCCTTCACCAACATGACGTTTGGTGTCAACGAAAGAAACCAGGAAGGACATATTGTGGTGAATTTTGTAAAATGTAAATCACAGGAAATAAAAGCTGAAATTCTGAACTCTTGTCTCACTCATATTTTGATCTTAAACCCAAATGTCTTCAGTGAACAACAAAAACAAAGGCATTTGCCTTGCTGTTCCAATACTTTTGGAGAGGACTGTATTATATTAGCAAATTTATTTTCAAGCTTCATGAACATTTTATAAATGAGAAGGAGGCAGGTGGAACAGTGAGAAGCAATGGCCACTAAGGAGCAGTACTTCAAATACTTAAGTGTCTACTGTCCAGGAAAATAAGCAGTGTGGTAAAGAGGTGAAAAAAATAGAGTCCAGACAGGATGGAGAAAAGTTTCAGGAGTGATTGGCAACCAAACGGTGACAGCAAGATCAAAAGAAAAGTTTACAGGACAGTTGTGAGACAATCCATCTTGTATGGCTTGGAGACAGTGGCATTGACAAAAAGACAGGAGAAAGAACTGGAAGTGGCAGAAATGAAGATGTTGAGGTTCTCTTTGGGAGTGACAAGGATGGATAGGAATGAGATCATCAGAGGTACAGCACATCTTAAACAACTGGGAGTTAAAGTTAGAGAGGCCAGACTGAGGTAGTTTGGACATGTCCAGAGGAGGGACAGTGGGTATATTGGTAGAAGGATGTTAGAAATGCAGCTGCCAGGAAAAATACAAAAAAGCCAAAGTGGAGCTATATGGATGCAATAAGAGAGGACATGGAGGTAGTTGGAATGAAGGCAGAGTGAGATGGAGGAGGATGACTTGCTGTGGAAGCGCCTGAATATGGAAAAGCCGAAAGAAGCAGCTCTGAAATATAAACTACACACACATATGTAACATACTAAAGTATTAGATTTTGTGATGGAACTATCTTGAGTCTGCGCTGAAAAAAATCAAAATTTGGTTTTCAATGTGTCGTTTAAGACTCTATTTTTCCTTTTCTCTGTCCATTTTCTCTTCCTCTCTCCGTCATCTCAAGGTTTTCAAACATCTCAAACTTTAAATCTCCAATTTTCTTCTATTTTGTCTTTGCACTCTAAATCCATGTGATTGTTTTTGTATGAAGGATATTGCAAGTGATATCTATGAAGGACGAACTGAGGCCAGTTGATGGAGACAGTTTCACCACAGAGATAATGTGGCTCAGGAATTATTTTTTAACCTGTTTTATCTATAAAAAACACATATTTTGATGCCTAGTTTCTTTTTTAATTACATAAAATAGGTGTGTAACTAATCATAGTTGTTCTTTACAACCACTAAATCCTTTTTTCAAAAGAATCATTGACTGTTCTATAATTTACTGCAGATTTTTTTTTTTTTTTTTTTTTTTAGAAACCACTATTTTGTCTTATGCTGTTTTCTTTCACTTTCCATTTTGTAAGATTTAGGCATCTGATAAAAAGTTGGTGTTTTATACAAAAACAAGAAAAAACTCAGAAAAAGACAAGTCTTTGAAGGGTGCAGCGTAAAAAAGTTTGTATATTGTGAAGCCAGTAAATAAACTTCTCACTAGTATTTACAGGAGAAGCTCAAAAAAAGAAAAAGAACAATTTACATAAATTAGCACAAATAAAATTATTATTTTTGTCCCCGTTTTATAATAAACCATCAAACCAAGATATTTCCTATTGACAATAGAAAAGTCTAGGTTTTGATACAATTTAATGTAAAATATATGGATTTTCCTTGAAGTTATTGTGCTCATCAAAGCAAAAGTATGCTAATTATTGTTCCCCATCAAAAAGAGGGAATTGGAAATACCCTCCATCCGTCAGTCAGTAAATGTGAGCGCGATAACTTGAAAAGTAAGTGAGGTGACTTCCATTTTGGTGTGTGGCTGCATCAAAGCGTAAGAAATGTTCCTGTCAAAATTTGGGTTTCCAGGTCAAAATCCAAGATGGCCACCACCATATATATTTGTAAACCTATGTCATTTGATGGAATTATGCTTTCTATTTTTTATATTGCTTAAAAGTATAGTTTCCTCAAATGATTGGTGTGACCGGTGGCGTGACTGAAAATGAATGGTGACCAGTGTACCTTGTGGTAAATAAAATTGGACCCTTGCTCACCAGGATCTGGCACTCTGGGGACATCAGCGTACCACTTGTTTATCAGAGAATTTTGATGAAAAAAACAAAAAGACTATGAGAATAAATACCAGTACTCAAATAAATGCTGTTATGAAATTAGACTGTAGGTAGGTCAGTCCAGCAAATGGTTTGATCTCAAGTTTATGTTTATACCATTGTGATAAAATGTTTAATTCTATCCCACAGGGCAAATGATGATTAGTAGGTTTAATATATTTGTAATGGCCATCATTACAATAATGTAAACTACAGACAGACAATGTAAGTTTGTTAGATAAATAACTTTACTAATTGGCATTTATAATGTATGTGAACATTTTTGTTCAGTGCCCTGAAATAACTTCTGCTGTGATGTGGTGCTATATAAATACATTGAACTGAAGTTGAATTGAATTGAATGTAAAATAATAATAACAATAAAAGGCACAATGTTTAAATTTAAATAATTAAAAATGAACTATTGTAAAAATGTAAGAAGAGGTTTTGCATAGCTTGACTGTGTGAACTGGGGCTAAGTATGACTTACAAGAGTGTTTTACGCTTTGAAAAATAGTCCGTGAAAAGATTTAATACAAAAAGTGATGTTGGAATAAAAGACTAACAAAACCACTGACGTACTTCAATGATTTTAGAGCAAGAAGTATTTAACAAGCTGTGGTTCTTTTGTAATTAAAAAATGAAATTATTCTCAAAAGACCAATGAAAGTGAACAATTGGTATGAAACATTGAAATCAGAAAGTGTAATATTCTGGAATTAATTTTATATTAGTGACGAGGGGTGCTGCTTTTGCTATTCTCAAAACAAATGTGTTGGCTGGGAGTTCTCACTCTGTGGCTCACAAGGTTAGTGTCGTATTGTGCGGCGCCTCTTCAGTGGATAATTAAACCCGTTGAGAGATCCTCCACATCGTTTCTTCTCCCACTGATCAGATATATATGTACAAAGCACTGTGCAAATATTGTAAGACAGTCTTGATTTCAGTTTTGTTTCTAAAGTCACATATTTCTCATAGTGTATTAAAAATGTCTTTGTGTAATAGCTTTTGGACTTTTCTAAAGGTCGTTCATTGTCTTTTTTATGTTAGTTGCTTCTGCAATCCTTGGAGCTAATGGTTTCCTGAAAAGAAATGTTTGCATTAAAAGTCATTTATGATTGATTTATGACTCATTTAAGAAAACTTCTAAAACTTAAGGGTTTTATGCGAGTTTGTCATGAAAACATTTTATTCCAGTTTCTTTACCTGTATTTATATATAAAGAAAAGGTTAAAAAAAAACGTAGCTTGAAAGGTCTAAATTTGTGTTTTTGCACCACCCATGTGATTCTTAAAGAGAAGTGAAAATATTAAAAACTTGGTTTACAGATGATGGATTAAGTAAAAAAAAAAAAAACAAGAAAAAAAAACCCGACACGTCTGAGGTCGTGTTTCGGGTCTTTTGCTGACTTTTCAGATACTGTTGATCTGAAGATAGTTTCTTGGGCATTACACTGCATCTTTACTCCTACACTTATTATGTTTTATAATTTAAAAACACATATTTTTAGTTGAGACACATCGAATTTTAGCTGCACAGTGGTACAGTGGTCTGTCACCAGTGGTGTAGTCAACGTATTTGTATACAAACTCATACGCGGTATAGGGTATACCGCGGTAAAATTAGTTTTACGTTAGATGTTGGGACACCGCCAAAGTCACGGAGCGCGAATGTCCAATGTCCAATCTAAAACTAACTTTATCATGGTCAGTCCGTATACTGTGCTTAGAAACCAAAGTACATTGGTTAGTACAATGTAATTGTCGATTTATTTAGATTTTTTTTAAGCATATTGAATATTTCCAAATTTCTCTGATGCTTATAATTGAATACATGTACAGCAAACTTTGCACAACAGTTGGCTTTTGTATTAATAATGTTATAGAACTTATAAAACAGTATCAAAGCAAGACATTTTCAAGTATTACATAGTAAGTACAGAAATATTAGTTATACAATAATTTGCTGGATAAGCAAATGTAATAGACAAGCGCTGCATAGAGATAGATTGTTATGGAAGCATTTAACTGCTGTTTAACATATCAATGACACGTTCCTAATGATACGTCATGTATCATTGGGCACGTTTAAGTGGGTATACTGAAATTCTCAAGATTTTCTAGTGGGTATACTCCATATATCCACATATCGCATAGACTACATCACTGCCTCTTGTGAGAAGTTTGCACAATTGCCTTCTGGCCCAACCCCTTTCTGGGTGGAATTTGAATGTTATATTTTTGGGGCATTCCAGTTACCTTCTGCAGACCAAATACATTAATGCTAATTGGTAACTAAATTGTCCCTAGGTGTGGGCGAGAGTGAGAACGGTTGTTTGTCTTGTTTGTCTCTACATGGCTCTGTGATGGACTTGGGACCTGTCCAGGGTCTCACAACTCTTACGACAGCTGGAAATGAACACCACCTCCCGGTGACTCGAATGGAAAAGCAGGAAAGAAAATGGATGGAATAAGGGAGGTCAAATTTTAGTCCAACAGCTCAAAATCAATTTTTTGGTAAAATTAAATAAATACAAAAAATGTGTTTGACCAATTCTGTTATCTTCAATATTTGTGTGCATTAAATTCAAGAAGTATGACAAAAGCATATTTCTGCAGCCAGGTGCTTGTGATAAAGAGCTAAAGGAAACAGCTTAATGAGTCAGTGCAAAAGGGTTATTTAAAAAAAAAGACTGAAAACAAACCAATGACTTGAAAATAGCTACATTTACCTTAATAACCTGTTCGTCTGTGGACCTGCACTCCACAGACTCTGTGACATCTGATACGGATCCATCTGTCCCTACAGTGACCACCTTAACTGGGACAGCGACAGTACGCCCTGTGAGGACAGCCGTGTTGAGGATCTCACTGTCCTGGAGAGAAACAAAAAGAAACCCATTAGACACAATTTTATGAGCTGGTTTGAGGCAAATAAACTAAAGCAGACATTATGTAATATTATTCCTGCATGGGGAAAATGCAACAATGCAGTGGAGCACTACGACCTGCAGACTCTAACTACTTATTCTAAAGTAATGGAAAGGATTTTTCTTTTCCGCCACATTTTCAAAGAAAACATTTCTGAATATTTTGTTTCATTTTTGTCCATTCGGCCCCAAATATTACAAATAGAACCGAAAAACTTGGTCCACGTTGTTTGTAATTTGGAACAAAAACAATCATTTTATACACCTAAAAGCAAAAGTTTATTCAAGTACCGGTATATAAATTGGATCTAAAAAACAGTACGGGGCATTTTATTGCTGGAGTGTTCTTTTCAAAAGACAACCCCTTCGGTATCAGGTATTGGAATACTTCGTCCTATAAAATTATAGACAATAGTCTCCATCAGAAACCCTTCACATATAGTGCCCTTTGAAACCTGTACAGAAAATGACAGGTAGTTATGAGTGGTAATATTTACTTTCACAGAGATGATACAAAGGAAAACAGTGTTTACCCCACATTTATGGGTTGATGGTAGCAAGTAAATAAAGATATTTTCCAGTAAATGATCAAATAGAAATAAAGTGTGAAAAAAGGTCATGTTGTGGACAGCTCAGTTGCTTGTTCTAACAAACAAATGTAAATACAATGCCATTTATTCTTAAATGTTTGAGACAAACAGGATTCAAACATTTTTAAATCAGTTTTTTTTTTTAATCAGTGTGTTGTAACAATCATGCCGTTTTGTTTTGTGAGCTGTATGCATAGACATTTTGGGCCTTCTAAAAGCAGGATAACTTGATTTACTGTAATACAGCCCAGAAAAAAAAACAAAAACCAATTGATTAATGAAAGTTGTCAATGTGCTCTGAAATGTCAAGGTAGCAGTTTGTTATCCAGCTCACTACTTTGTTTATTCAATGTTCCGGCGCACATTGGATTCTTTCTCAATTATCCGCCACAAGCATTTAACACTTTCAAAGAACTCAAAGCAAACATCAGAAAGGAAAAAAGCAAATTCAATTCAATGTATTTATATAGCGTCAAGTCACAATAGAAATCATCTCTGGGCACTGAACAGAAACATCCATATTTAAAAATAATAATTTAAAATTATTTATATGAGGAGCAGATTGCTTTGAGTTTGAGTCCATTGCAGAACTCTCATCTTGAGCAAGCATGAAGGCGACAGTGGAAAGGAAAAACTCTGTCATGAGGAAGAAACCTTTAGCAGTGCCAGTTTCAGGACAAGCGGCCATCTGCTTCGACCGGCTGGGTTTGGAAGGAACAGATACACAATGGCAGGTCAAGAATCAAATGTTGAGATAGAAATAGTATCAAATGAAAACGTGCCAATTTTAACATCTCATTTAAGGAAATTAGATCAATTTGTTCTCAGTACTCTAAGCCTATAGCAGCATAACAAGCCAACCCTAACTATAGGATTTATCAAAAATGAAAGTCTTAAGCCCAGTTTTAAAAATGGACAATGTGTCAACCTCATGGACAGAAACTGGAAGTTGGTTCCACAAGAGAGGAGCCTGATAACTGAAAGATCTTCCTCCCATTCTGTTTTTGGAAACTCCAGGGATCACGAGATAACCTGCAGTCTGAGAGCGAAGTGCTCTTTTAGGAAAATATGGAACAACAAGATCTCGAATATAAGATGGAGCTAGGTTGTTGAGAGCTTTGTAGGTTAGAAGTACGATTTTGACTTAAATTCTGGACTTGACAGGGAGCCAGTGGAGAGAAGCTAAAACTGGAGAGATATGATCTCTCCCACTAACTCCAGTTAAGACTCTGGCAGCAGCATTTTGGATCAACTGAAGACTTTTTAAAGAAGTATTTGGACACACAGATTACAAGCCATTGCAATAGTCCAGTCTAGATGTGACAAATGCATGGACCAGTTTTTCTGCATCATTTTTAGATAAGATGTTTCTAATTTTATTGATATTACGCAGGTGGAAGAAGGCAGTTCTAGTAACGTTTTTAATGTGGGGGATAAAAGACATGTCCTTATCAAAAATAACACCAAGCTTTTAAACATTAGAACTAGAGGCCACATTAATGTCATCCAAGGAGGACGAAATAATGAAAAAAAATTCCCAAGATGCTCAGGTCCAAAACTAAAACCTCTGTATTCAAAAGCAGAAAATGTAGGGTCATCCAGGTTTTTATGTCTTTAAGACATGCTTGTAGTCTAAGTAGCTGATTGAATTAATTTGGTTTCATGGACAAATACAATGGTGTATCATCAGCATAACAATGAAAATTCATTCCATGCTGTTTAATAACATTAAAAAGCATGGAATAAATTGTGAAGTAAATAAAGTGAAACTGAGATTAGAGTAACTCCAGTAGAAGTGAATAGGCTTCTGCTTGACTTGCATAAAAAGACAACCCGGTGGGAAAGATTATCTGTTGATGTACATGGTTCTATATTTTGTTTTGAAGTACAGTATAGAAAATCATGACAAGTTATAGTAATATCAACAGAAAAGAGAAATATCTAAAGGTCACACTTAACTTAAGGTCTGTCTCATAAAGCTCTGGTACTTTATCCAAACAAAATAAATAAAAGCACATTATTTAAATGAGAAAATGTGGTACAAAAGTATGAAATGTTTTGTTTGTGAAATGCCTAGATTTTTAGCTCTTATTGAGCTGTTAGTACATGTTATCAAGTGTTCTTACAAACACTCTTACAAGTGTTCTTATTGGAACAAAACCTGGAGAATCATCCAAAAAAAGTTCAATCTGGTCCTCTGGTCCTCTGGAGAATCATCTTTTTTTTTCTTCTTTTAATCTTTTAAACTCTGCTGCCACCACCATCCACAATATATTTTGATGTGTGGCCAATGAAAGATATACAATTATAAATTATGTACTTCAATGAAATAAGTTTTCTACTATGGTTTATTTTAGGTGTTTTTTACTTAAGACAATACATAATAAAAACGTGACATCTCATATGCTAACAATAATGTTCATACTTGGGTTTAAAAGAAAACTAAACATCAATATCTAACATCCATCCATCCATTATGTTTGCCGACTTTTCCATTTTGGGTAATGAGGATCACTGGTGCCCATATCCAGCAGTCACTGTGCAAGAGGCAGGGGAGACCCTGGACAGGTCACAAGTCCATCACAGGAACATTTAGAGACAAACAACCATTCACTCTCTCACTCTCACCTAGAGACAATTTAGAGTTACTAATCAGCCTAACATGCATGTTTTTGTTCTGTGGGAGGAAACCAGAGTAAATCATAAATGGACTGTACTTATATAGCGACTTTCTATCTTACCAAGGCACTCAAAGTGCTTTACAACACAATTTGTGCCTCATTTACCCATTCATACAGCACTACTAGATCACTACAAAGCTAAGTGAACAAATCATTCTAAAGAGTTTAATCAGTGCTTTGGATCACATTCATACACTGATGGGGCACACATCGGAGGCAATGAGGGGTTCAGTGTCTTGCCCAGGGACACTTTGGCATGTTACTGCTGGTGGATTCGAACCCCCAACTCTTGCATTGGAGGACGACTAATCTAACCACTCAGGCACAGCCACCCTGCCACAGAGTACCTGAAGAAAACCCACGCATGCATGAAAAGAACATGCAAACTCTAACCAGAAAGTCCCCCGGCCAGGATTCAATCCAGTGACCAAAAATCTAGGATTTTATCTTTATTTATATTAATAGATCTTTATTTCACAGATCCTGTTGTTGCTCTTGAAAAACGAGGAATGCAAGTTGGCTGAGAGGGAGGCAGGTGGAACAGTGAGGCTACAAGGAGCAGAGGTCACGAAGGTGCAGGACTTCAAGTACTTGGGGTCCACTGTCCAGGAAAATAGGGAGTGTGGTAAATAAGTGAAAAAGAGAGTCCATGCAGGATGGAGTGGATGGAAAAAAGTTTCAGGAGTGATTTGTGACAAAAGGGTTGCAGCAAAGGTCAAAGGGAAAGTTTACGTGGCAGTTGTGAGACTAGCTGTGTTGTAAGGTCTGGAGACAGTAGCAATGACAAAAAGACAGGAGACAGAACTGGAGGTGCAGGAATGAAGATGTTGAGGTTCTCCTTGAGAGCAACAAGGATGGCTAAGATTAAGAACGAGATCATCAGAGGTACAGCACAGGTTGAACAACTGGGAGATAAAGTTAGAGAGACCAGACTGAGATGGTTTGGACATGTCGAGAGGAGGGACAGTGGGTATATTGGTAAAAGGCTGTTAGGAATGCAGCTGCCAGGAAAAAGACAAAGAGGAGATCTATGGATGCAGTTAGAGAGGACATGGATGTAGTTGGAGTGAAGACAGAGAATGCAGAGGACAGAGTGATATGGATAAGATGACTTACTGTGACGACCCCAGAAGAGTGAACAGCCGACAACAAAAAATAAATAAATTATTGTTCCATATTTTCCCAACAGTGCACTTTGATCTCAAACTGCAGGTTTACATGTGATTTATTCTCCATGCTTGTCTTTAAAATCAATGCTGTCATTGTCCTCTGCTTTTCTTTCCACATAAACTACACCTGGACCAATGCTTCTGTGTTTGTCCGTGTCTCTTTCCTGTTTTCTCATTACACTCACAAATATCTGTCTGTATGTCAATGCATTGTATTGTATTGTATATTGTGATTCTTGACCTGCTATTGTGCATCTATCGTTTCCTGTTCCTCTCAAACCCAGCCGGTCGAAGCACCACTTGTCCTGAGCCTGGTTCTGTTAAAGGTTTCTTCCTCATGAGGGAGTTTTTCCTTCCCACTGTCGCCTTCATGCTTGCTCAAGATGAGAGTTTTGGGATGGGAGTTAAATTCAAAGCAGTCTGCCTCAGATAAATAATGTTAATTTATTATTTTTATATGAATGTTTCTGTTCAGTGCCTTGAGACAACTTCTGTTGTGACTTGGC